AGTTGCAAGAGTCGGAGGAGTTTGTCCTGTAGAAGGGCAAATCTCGTCCACGCCCGTCGACGAAAGAATGCGATGCTTCCGACTCGTACAGAGCATGCCTTGAGGAACTCTGCGTGACTCGGAGAACACTGAAGCCGCGACCCCCGCCGACGCCAGCCAAGCAGCTGCAACCAATTGCTGCCTGTCAAGTCTGGCACGCAAAGACGACGTAGACTTACTGATCTCCCGATACGAGAAAGTGTATTTCTTTCGCTCACAACAGCCGCCAGCAAATTTCTGTTCAGGTGCCGATTCAATCCATTTCGGCAGATGGTTTACGGGTCATGAGATCAGTCCAAATTATAATTTAAGGGCTTTTTTGACATTATGGAATTAAGGCATTTAAGCGCACTTAGGTAATCCATGCAATATTATGAAAGAATTTTTCTTTATAATCTTTTATCTACTTTGCAACTGTGACATCTGCATTACCAAGCTAATATAAGTAATGTGGAACTTCTGCCTTGAAAATGCCTTTCGAGCCTTTTTAAATACTAATATAAATTTTTGGTAGTCTTAACGCCTCTTAATATTACCTCTGACGGCCATAACGGAGATTAAAATATTGGATGATCTCCTAATGTAATTATAAAATGACACTTAGAATTTGTTGTTTTCCGTCATTAAATAGCCATAGGTTTAAGAAGGGTTGTACATTACTAAAATGTTTAATTTCGCTTTAGTAATTGAGACCTAGAATACCTCGACTCTTCATGTCTGTAGCCATAGGAAGTGATGTGTGAAGCGTGTGAAGAGTGGTACCTGGTGTTGGGAGGAAAGTCCCTGAGGAAGGTGTGCGGTGGTCGAGCGCCGTGCAGCAGCACCGCCCACCGCTGCGCAAGCCTCGCCGGGCCAGGCGCTGCAGGAAGCGGGCTCTTGCCCATCCCGGGCTCCCCCGACCAGCACCCCACGCGCTGGCCTCCACGCGGCCGCGTGCCGGCATACGGCCTCCGCCGCGTGCACGCCACGGCGGCGCGACGCCCAACGCGTCGCTCGCCCGTGCACGAACGGCGCCAGCGGCCTGCGTCGCCCCCTTCGCGTGGCCTTCTCACATACACGCCCCCAACGCCACGCAGTGCAGCCAGTGCACGTTGAGGCCTCTTCCTCCGCGCGGGCGGTGACGCGCAGGAAGGCGGTTGCTTGAGGGCTGCTGCCCCCGGCGCCAGGCAGCACGGACCACCTACACATCACGAAAATTTCAACAGCCAAATAAACTCTTTATATTATGAACTTTCCGTTCCAACTCTGCACATTCAATAAACTTTCAACCTCCATTAAACCTTCAACTTATCGATTCCCGTCAAATATGAAATGAAATTGTTAGAATGTATATCATTTTATACATATTTTAACGTCTTGAAGAATGAATAGATTAAATTTGACCTACCAAATGATACAACTTCACGTACTCCCTAAAACCTGAACCTTCAATTATAAAATTATGCTGTATAAAATAAGTTGGTGCATGAATCCAAGTATGCAGTAATAATTATACAGTAAAATATGAGTTTTAAAAAATATAACGCAATGACTAATAACTCTAAAATTTTGTTGCTGCTTGAACGAGATTCCCGCACACAGCAAAAGTGGTTCCTAAGATTTACGAGACAAATATTGTAAAATTTTGTTTATTTTTGCTTCAACGAAATCAGAAAGTTACAAACATAAGGGTAATTAGGACGTCTATCCTGGGTAAACTGTGAAAAACGCTGTCAACTAGCCACCAAAATTCCAAGTTAATTCTTATTTCGGAAGAGTGTTTTGTACTTTTGCAACACATTAACTCACCAACTGTTATTTTCAATCGTGCAGTCTGTGCTCTCCTGGCACTTTTTCTCTCCATGACCCTCTTCAAATTCCGTGGTTCTTCTAAAGGAATCAGTTTCTCCGCTGTTGGAACTTTAGTTAGTGTGCAGACTTTAGAGTTGAGCTGCTCTCTAGTTCCATGTCTTGTGTACGATTCAGGTCTCCGCTTGGAACATCTTGGGAAATTGAGCGAATTGGTACAGCTTCGTAAGAAGAAGCGCAACAGGACAATCCGCTGAGGAACGAGATGGTCGCTCTGCGGGTCGAGCCCCCCCCAAAACAGGCCGGACGAGGTGGCGGGGTTGCTCCAGGGCGGGGGAAGGTCCGAGGTGGGGGTCTCCGCGGGCGCGGGCAAGGCGCCGCGCCCAGCGCGCCCCCCGCGCACACAGGGCGCTCAGCAGGGCGCCGTCCACGTCCCTCGCAGCGAGCGCGCACGAGGGCCCAGGGCCACGCAAGGGCACCGAGACAGACCCTGCACAGTAAAGCTCTAACATAGATGCAACATGTCCCAGGGCTAGACATCTTCACTCATCACTAACTTCATTTCCTTCCTCCAGGGCGCCGTCCACACTACCTCACACCGAGCGCCCGAGGGCTCCTCAAGTCCGACGCAAGAGCATCGGACAACCCTGCAACAAGACACACTACGCTCTATAAAGGCACTCCCTTGGGCTAAGAATTCGTTTTTTTCGAAAACTGGTTTTGCCTTTTCTTTTCTACACTGGTTTTACTGGCAAAGGAAGACCACTAGAGACAGAGGAAGTTTAAAAGAGACAGTAGGAATCATTAAAAAATCAACCAAAAACGTGAATGCTGTCCTGCGTGTCTCAAGCGAAACCTGAAAACTTTATTTTTATCTGCGATTGTCTGGTCGCAGTAATGGGGCAGTTTCCGTTGGTCCTTGACGTCCGATACAAGGCAAATCCCCTTCTCCCACCCGCCGCCACGGGAACAGTTCCCGATTGCCGATGATGTTCTCCTTCATATTTGACGTGTTAGAAACGCGGATCTCTCTGTACCAATACACACTCGGGCACCGAGGCTAGTCGAGCAGAGTTCATGGACTATATCCGCTGGAAAGACTTAACAAGCCTCCCTGTAGCTGGATTATTCTCTTAGCTATTTCCATTTTTCTCGAGGAGCACTCGAGCAAATTTCTGTTCGGTAGACATTACGGCACAATGACGAAGTAAAGCCTAACCACATCCCAAGGCGAAAAAAGTTCTATTGACGCAGGGATACACGAATTTGATTCAAGGGAAAGGCTAATGTCCTCAGTTGTGTGATTAATGTGGGAAGCAAAGTGCGAATATGGCTCCTATCTGCGGCAATTATGTTTTTTACAGTAACTGCGATTTCTTTTTTGAACTAACCGAGATTCGCCTCTTAATTCTAACCACTCACCTGGAAGAGGAGAGTCTGGTCTAATGAGTGCCTCTGAGCCCTCCAGTGTCAGGTGGTCCCATGTCATCCAGTCCCCTCATCCATTATCTGACATCTCCACTTTAAAGGACTAACGCACCTGGCAAGAGGAAACTGCGACCACTTTGACGCGCAGCCGACGGCGGCGACCAGGGCCGCGCCGCCGCCACCTTCCTCCTCCGCGTCCGCAGCAGGAAGCTGCACGTTGAGCGCGCGCGCGCAAGGCTTCCAGGCGCGCGCGGCAGCTCCGAACTTGGCGGTCGCCCACGTGGCCCAGCGGCCGGCGAATTGCCTCGTCTACACTGGACGACCTTGGCCGCGCGTGCCCGCTGGCACCGCCGAACCCCACCCTCGACCACCGACCTCTGGCCGCCCCGAGCGCCCTTCAGGGCGACGCAGTGCTCCGCTCGAAGCGCAGAGCCCGCCCGCCGCCGCCGCCCGCCCTGCTGGCCAGCCTCCTCCACCCACAAGCGATTCGCACTTCTCCAGAGCTCTCCTGTGAGCGGGGCGCCCCGCGGTAATCAGAGCCGCAGTGCTTGAGGATACCTGGGTAGTTAGAGAACAGGGAAAACGCTTGCGGCAAAAGGAGCTCCAAACATTAGCGTCCAGCTCCTGGCTGATAAGATCCTTCAGCGTCGTTTACAGTGCGCTTGTTCGGGAGAATACCGCAGCGTGGAAGAAACATCTTGCTGTAGACATTTTTAGTGGGATGTTGTCATAGCAGCTTCCATACCCTGTGACGGATAATGCCTACATGTAATATTTTCAAGTTGCTCACACATTTGAAGTTAGAAAAACAAGCAAATATATGTGCTAATATGATATATACCATCCTTCCTATGATCCTCTAATCTTCATTTCAAAATACATTCTCTTGATATTTTTTGTCTCCATCTGCAAATATACTTTTATTTGTAAATACGTCCCCTTGAATTATATTCTTTTATCTTTAAATATTTCATTTAATGGGCGAGAAATTTACGTTGTCTATTCGCCACGCCGCTCTAATTTCAGTAATGGAATAACATAGCAATACACGTCGCATAGAAAGCGCGCAAACATTCGAGCCCAGCTGGGCCAGGCGCGGCACCGACTACAATGACGCGCTACCCGCGCCATCATACTAGCTTTGAAAGTAAATATTGGCGTTATCTTGCTTTTTTAAATGCAATTCAGTACCTTACTACCGTTCACCACGCTTTAGTATACACTTTATGCCGCTTTTTGTAACTCTGGGAGGGGTGATTTAGCTATGGTTTCTGGAACATCTTCTG